TATATATATATATATATATGCCTTGCAAGTACTAAACTTTCAGGTGGAGGAACGAGAAAACTTGATAGGTGCACTTTTATAGTTTACAACACCTTCTTTTCCTGCACTTTCTTTACTGTATTTTTTCTGCTCCTGAACTTGCATGTTAAACAATGATGTCACCCTGCATGTCAAAACTGAAACTTTTAAAATAGCCAAAAACTGAAAACAAAATCAAAATTAAGACATAAAAACTAAAGAAAATTCACCGCCACAACAGTCAAAATATAAGAAAACTCAAAATTTACTCACAAACAAAACAAAACAAAAAATTGCACTAAATTAAAATGTCTATATAAAATGATTGGGAATCCCTCAGAGGAGGTAGCCTATGGTTACTAACGAGGTTTCTCTGGTCTAAATGAATGTTTGGAACTCATTAAGTTGAGTTTAGTAAATTCATTTGGATTGAGTGAATCCAAAAAAATAGTGGTGCCAAAATGAGGAGGATCTTAACCGGTGTCGCTCTAATCAACTTTAATATGCCCCATAATATTTAAATAACCACGACCCTTAGGAACATTTGATTTGACATCATGAATTGACACATTAGAAAACTTAAACTGACCATGATGAGGAGCTTGGAGCTAGTATTATGGGCAACACGACTCTCTTCAACAGCAAAACATGTCTTCACCAGCTAAATCATTCCTTAGAATTAAACAACAAATCCATAAGACTTCGAGATTGTCTGCTTATGTAACATAAATCCTCAACTCATCTTTAGGCCTTTGTATAGCTCTGCTTTACAATTTAAGCTCTAACTCGCTTTAGGATTCCAAGGTTGTCGTTCATCGCGACCTAAATCCTCACATCTTCTATGCTATTTGCGTGATCGTTTCACATGAATGTAAGCCCTAACTAATAAAATTGGCAGGATGAAACACTTAAATATTTCCCCTCTAAACTGAAGCTAAATAATAGGATGACTTGGGAAGTCACATAGATTCTCCTCAGGATCTATGACATCCTCTAGTTCTTCTTCCTTTGGATTCAAAAATAAAATGTTTCAAATTTAAGCTATTCTCCTTTCACACCTCTTTGTCTGATCTCCTTGAAAAGTCCTATTACTTTGAATTCCTTGAAGATAATATCCCCTAATTTTAATCGAGAGTTTTCTTAGGTGACTTCGGTTATCTAGGATGTAATTAACTATAGGGGCTTGCCCTTATAGGAAGCTTTTCTGAACTCAATTTAATATAAATACTATTTAATCATTCATATTAAATAGGGAAAATTGTCGGATTATAATAAAAAATGGTTTCTCAGACTTAGCGGATGTCATACAACCTTTAGTTTATTTAATCGAGTCTTACCAGTAAGTGGTGTGTTTAACCTTCGGGATGAATATATTATTTGCAGTATTTTGCTCGTTTGTTTAAACTACTGAGAATATGAGATTGATCCTGTCTTGTATTTTCAAAAATCCAAAATACTTTTTTTCGAAATTATATATTAAATTAAATTAAAATGGGTGTTAGGGTATCCATCTTGTCAACCAACAACTTCACAACCCCTCAACCTTTTAGTGCCGACAAATTCTGGCGACTCCACTGGTGAATTGCTTCTCTCTTCATATGTGTCCATGTCCCTTATGGACCAAATTACCCTTCTTCCGTTGGCATGCTTCACTCATTTCTTTCTTGGGGAATTACGGTCAACTTCTTCGGACTTCAAGACCGTCTGTTCAATCACCTTTGAACAGAGAGGT